TACTCCTACACGTCATTGCGTGTTTGATTCCCTAATTCTGAGACACAATCGAGTCCAACCTCTTAATTTCACAGCTGTGCATACGTCCCGACTTCTGCAACGTGGAGATTCCGTTCGTTAAAATGGCCGACATCGCAAGGGCGTCTGCAGAATGCACTGTGGACGACACAGAGCCCTCAGAGAAAAGGCGCAGCTACAGGGGTAAATTTATTGAAAACAGACTAACAAATCTAGCAACAAACTTGTGCAACGCCAAACAGAACCTCGCCGATAGCATAGCTTTTGCCACTCTCGAGACACAGCACCATGCGACCTAAGCAACGGCTGGCAACAAATTGGCGTGCGTTGAATTGCAGAATTCTCTGTTTCGAGGGTACGGCCGCCACGGTGACCAAAACCGCGCAGAGGCGCAGTGATTTCGAGGGTCCGAAAATAACCAAAATGGCGGTGGCGGTAGTGACTTTCAAGTTTGTAGCTAGCGATAAAGAGTTCGGGAAATCGGCTAGAACTGTGCGGAATTTTTTCAAATACACTAACTCAATGGGGAACTTGACGGTGCCGCAGACGAGCCCGGGAAATCAGGCATGTTTAGAATTTCGGGCGTCCGAGCAATCGGCCGTCGACTGTACTAGCTTTTCAATCAATGATGTTCACAAGCATGAACGCAGCCACCAGTTCGAGATGGCTGGGTGTTCAGCAAGTAGGCCAGGTGGCTGATTTGTGAGACAGACACACAGACAGAGAGACCCAGATTTCAGCGTTGAGTATCCCAAGAAAGACTAGCAAGTAGGCCAGGTGGCTGAATTGTGAGACAGACACACAGACAGAGAGACCCAGATTTCGGCGCTGAGTATCCCAAGAAAGACTATCGTCTTTAAAATCAAATAGTAGTGAACAGCACAAAATTTTGTATAAATGCTTACACTGTGCAACATTGCCTGGTGTGATTACAGCTGGACATTTCTAGAAGAGACACTGATATAAGGGACAAATGTGTATAAAAGACACGAGTGTGCCTACAGTAAAATGCAGTTTGATAATAAAATGCGTACAAGGTACTTATAAGAGGCATCTTATATAATACACAAGAACTGCTGCCCAGAGCATGCCTCTTATAAAGGGGTTCAAGTGTACTTACGTTCACTCAGCCGCAAAAGTTTTCGAGCAGGTGGACAGTGATATATTTCTCCTAGTTTTCCGCGATGTGCTTGTGTCCTTAAATTTGGTTTTTTTTTTTTTTTGCGACTGCAGTCACTCTGTGTGAAGAATGTACGGTGCGGTGCTAGAGGCCTAGTCAGGTGACTCGTAATGCCACCTTTCATCTCCTGCACCACAGCAAACATGCATTGTCACACAAATAAATAAAAATCCTTGTAATAAATACGGTGCCATTATGGCCTATGGCAGTGTCGTAAAAATGGCAGTGTCGTAAAAATGTGCCAGCACTGGAGCTTTCTGCAGTCGATTGTGTAGCTCTACGAAAGCTTGTTATTCTTCCGCCCATACGAATGGCACATCTGGCCGGGTTAAGTTTTGTAAGAGGTTCCGCAATTTTTGAAAATCCTTCGACAAAATGGAGGTAGTAGGCACAGTGTCCAAGGAATCGCTGAACAGCCTCCTTGTCTCCAGGACGAGGGAACTCGGCGACGGCAGCCAACTTCTCCGGACCTGGTCGAACACGCCTCCCGGGCTCACCATGTGGCCGAGAAACGAGTTCCTAATAGCCAAAGTAGCCCTTTTCGGGCTTGATAGTAAAGTTTGCTCTCTGTATTGCAGTGAGGATGCTTTTTAGCCTTGAAAAACGTTCGTCAAACGTACTTGAATACAAGACATCATCTAAGTATACAAGACACGTCTGCCACTTTAGTCCAGCGAGTACAGTGTCCATCATGCATTTAAATGTGGCAGGAGCGAAACAGAGACAGAAAGACAGCACTTTAAATTCGTAGAGCCCGTCAGGAGTCACGAACGCGGTTTTCTCACGTTGCCTTCGTCAAATTAAATTTGCCAGTACCCTGACTTGAAATTTAATGATGTAAAGAACTGGGCATGACGTAGACGATCTAAGGCATCATCAATGTGTGGCAGGGGATAAACGTCGCGTTTTGTGACTTTCTTGAGGGATTAGTAGTCGACCCAGAAGCGTAGTGTGCTCTCTTTTTTTCTTTACTAGGACAACAGTTAATGCACATGGACTTGTCGAGGGTTGAATGACGCCATCATTCAGCACTTCTTGAACGTGACACTTAATCGCCTCTCTTTCTTTTGGGGACACACAGTATGGATGTTGGAGAAGAAACCGCGCCGACCCCTCGGTAACAATGCGGTGTTTGGTAACGGTACTGCATGGAACTTTCGAAGCTGTGGAGAAGCAGTCCGAGAATTCTGTCACAAAGTTTAGCAGCTGCTCTTTTCATGGATCTCACAAGTGTGGATTAACGTGAATGTGGCTTCCCGGGTCAGCCCAAGCTTTTGAATCCGGTCACGTCGTCTCCAATGTGCCGGCATCGAAAAAGTCGGCTATTTCGCTGAGAAAAGCGACAGTGATGCCTCTAGGAACTAATGAAACTCATTGCTGAAGTTGGTCAGCAGAACTCGGAGAGTGTTCGGTAACCGAACAAGGCCTCAGGCTATGCAGATGTTTCGTTTGAGAGCAATGGGATATTTGCCTCTGCAATACATTCATAAATGTTGAATTCATAGGAAACGCCGCAGGTTACAATGTCAACACGCTACTCTTTGGCGGTAACGTGGCGTCATCATCAACAGTCCTCAAAGCATTGACATAACTGTCGTCAGGGTTGCGAGCTAAGGTGTGTGCCGTGGAAAATGTCACCTGCAACTCTTGCAAGTCAATCACGGCTCCATTATATTACAGAAATTCCAGTCCGAGAATTAGATCCTTCAAGCAACTTGGCAGTACTACAAGATCACCAAGATATGTAAATCCGTGAATACTAACTCGCGCTGTGAATCGTCCCACTGGAGTGAGGAGATGGCCTCCGGCCATGCGTTTCTGGGACCCAGCCCGCTGGATAGAAACCTTCAGCCTGCAGGCAAGGCCCATGCTCATAACGGAAGTGCCTGCTCCAGTGTCGATTAGCGTCAATACTTCTTCGCTGTCTACGGTTACCGCAAATCTACAAAGAGTGGTGCATGTTTAATGCTACCACTCTTTGTACAGTACCACGTTTGACTGCGTCTGTGCATCTTTTTGCTGCCGTCGCTGTCGTTGTAGTGGAGGATCTTCCGTACAGTCAGCGTAAGCGGCCTCACTTCCGGAGGTTGCTGTACTCAGTTTTCCTGACATGCAGGACTGGGTGAGTGGCGTCTCAGAGTGCTGTGTGAATAGGCTGGGTTCGGTTACCTGTAGCGAGCAGGCGCCGGCGAGTGAGGCTCATGCAACTGATGTTCAGTAATGCCTCGAATCAAGATGAAGCTCTCTATTTCCAGTGGTTGTTCCCCAGGTCGTGGATGAGGGGCATTTGGCGAAAATCCACAGAGACCCACACGGCGGCATGGACATGTTCAGTAGACATATCGGGCTTCCCCGCAGTGAACACAAAAGGGCCTGTGGTCGAGTGTACACCGGATGTCACTCTTCCTCAGTCCTGCTTTGGCGACCAACGACGGGCTACGAGGACTGAAGCCTACCTCCATTTGATGAGCGCAACGCTCATTGGGGTAAAACCCGCTGGGCGAACTGCACGATAGAGGACGTCGCACTGCTTCTGCGTAGCTAAATTCGACGCAATGCCGCTGTTGCGGTGCCTCGTACTGTTGGCGAGCATGAATGGCTTGTTGTAGCTTGGCACGTACCATCTCAGCAACGGAGAGCTCACCTATGGGTGAAGCTGTCACCTGCGTCTTTTGTAGCTCCTTGATGACATCTCTGATGAGCTCTCGCAACGCACTGACGTCATTGCTGAGAGTGACAGAAGTGACTTCACTTGGATGTACAACATCACGGTTATACTGCCTAGCACACGCTGTTGAAGGGCCCTCTCCATGGCAGTACCTTCCTCAAGGAACTGCGCAAGTGTCGCAGACGGGCTTTGAATCAGGCCGGCAGAAATACCTTCTTTGACCCCTCGCATTAAGTGAACGTTCTTGAATTCGGTCACAGAGGGCTCTGCACGCCTGAAAAGCCGATCGATGTCCTCTATGTAGGTCGTCACCCCTTTGTTAGGGCCTTAAACGCTTGCCTCTATAGCACGCTCCGCTGTCTCCTTCCTGTCCGTTCGGGCAAAGGCCTTGAGGAACTGCTGGTGAAACTCACCCCATGACGTAAGCGTTGCTTCGTGATTCTCAAACCACGTTTTTGCAGTCCTCAAGAAAGCAGTAAACATAGCGTAGCTTACACTATGTGTACTCAGTCGAAATGCTCAAGCCAATCGTTGGAATTTTCAAAAGTAGCTCAATGAAGTGCCTTCTCAGTCTTGGGTTGGTTGACAATCAGGTGCTCTGGTGCTGGCGCGGTGACGTTAAGGGGTGCTTTTCATAGTCCTCTGTCATTCAGGCAGCGTGCTGTGGCTCGAGTGCTGTGGCTCAAGTGCCTGGAGACTGGAACGTATGTGCACAGGGGTAAGCTCGGTTGAGCGACTCGATGGACTTGCGAATGGGGTGCTCACTGGGGACTGTATCATCTACCATACCCAGCACTATCACCAGAAAATGTCACAAGGACACACGAACGCGGGCACAAAACAGGGCGGTACACTCAATAACAAAAGGCCAAAAAACAAGCACCAGGGCACACGCACACCGAACTACTTCGTTATCCTCCTCCGAGAGGCTGGCCACTGTAGTTGTCAGTCTACCTTGCGTTAATATTGGCAGGGTTCTACCGTTAAGGGTTTTAAAGAAAGCCAAAAATTCTTGAAATCAGGAAACTTTATTACATTGCAGGTTTAATCAATTAACAAAGCAGTGAAACCTTAGTTGATTGAATCAGTGCCCAGCCAGAAAAGTACAGCTCATTAGTGAGGTGTCTCACTCACCTGCTCCTCGCCACCGCCTCCCTCATCCCCAGACTCGTCACTTGAGCTCTCCTCCTCCGAGCTGCTGCTGCTGCTTTTGCCCGAGCCACTCTCGTCATCGTTGCCCTCTCCCCGCTGAGCCTGCAAGGACCGAAAACCACCAATCAGGGTGACTTACACGGCCGCTACGCTTTTGACAAAGAGCAATCCAAAATAAATTGCGCGGAACATCCACAAGACACGAGTCATTTATGTACAGCGAGGGTGTGCTGGCGCCAACAGCTTTACAAGCAGACTTGTCATATTCAAATACACTCTTGAAGAAAGCAAAGCCGCTAGTCAAAATGCCTGAACATACCCCCGTTACACAAATCTTTCATTGCAAGCTTAAACCTTCCCTTTCTATCGTCTTTCTCTTTTTTTTTTTTTAAAAGGTTGATAAGGGACATTACAGGGTATCTGACCCAAACGCAACTAGATAAGGTGGAAACAAACACCATCAAAAAAAGAAAAAAATCAATCTGTACTGAACAAAATCATAATTTTATATTACCGAAACAGCACATTATTCCTAGGTAGCCTTAAATACATTATTTACTCAACTGCTGCAAGTGTTTTCTTTCAAATTCTTGCTACCTGAGGTCGACCCTTGCAATAATATCAAATAACACTTTGTTTTATATTATTCTAAACGGATGTAATGAAAAGTAAAGTTACAATCAAGCAAATATAGCAAATAGCCGACCCAATAATTCGCACTTCCGATACGTTTAAACAAATCTAAAATCTTTAGTTAGGCAGCCATGCTTTCAATGCATCTTGAAGATACCAACTAAGACTGTTCCATTGCATAAATTCGTTTAATTCACACTCTTGCTTTGTCATTGGCCAAAAATATCTGCTGCCCTTTGTCTCTTCCAAGTAAACATTTAAATTTTCACATCCTTAATAGTTACAAGTAACACCAATGTCCTGCCTAAATAAAAAAAAATACTAGCTGAACCACCTCCACAAACTACATGTTGGCTGAGCAAGGAAAAAAAAAAAGCATTGGTCTACCATGAGCAGAATGCCTCTCAAGACATTTTCACCAACCCCACTACAATGGTGCAATGCGGAAAAGCGTACTAATGGCGAATTGCACTCGCCGAGCGGGAGCAAGCTTTCTTGCTCCCCAGCCGAGAATCTGCATTCCACTGGTAGATTCGAAGCAAGCTGCGTTTTCCACAGGCAGGTTTAGAGCAACTGACTCTGTGATGGGAGCGTTCCGCGTGCTCCGTCTTGCAGAAACGGATTTCCCTGGAACTCGGAGAATGTGTTGCTGTAATGTCCGTTACAATCAGGCTGTTATGTTATTTTCAGCATTTTTTAAGGCGGTGTCGATCTAGTCACCCTGTGCCCTTGTTTACATTCCTGAAATGGCGTCGTTTGACTCTGCTGGATGTGCTGATGCTGGTTTGCTTTTCGCTTGGAGCAACAGCAAGAGCCCTAGTTCTGCTAGCAGTGGCAGCAGGGAGGACAATGAGCCATACAGGCTGTACGAAATGATGTATAAGGAAATGTTTGCTGGCACGCCGTGTGCACTGTCGAAGATAATCTGCTACGACGAAGAAGTTTCCGGTACTGGTTTAGTGACGTATGCGTACACAACTTGCGGAGCGACCTCACACAAGGCATCCACGTGTTCCACACACAAATCTGGCTTGGCGCATTCCGAGTGCTCTCTCCAGGATTTCGGCGGGCGCTCAGGCTCTACCAGCGGAATTCACCATAAAAATGGGAAGGGGCTAGCGGATGTCACAGGAGAGATTAAACATCTGTGCGTGTGCTCTGTACTACCAAGTAATACCATCAGCGCTGATGTCTAAAACTTTTAATGACATTCATACAGAGCTGTTTATGATCATTGTCTCCCTGAGCAACAAAAAAATATTACAAAACTAGTTGGTATGTTGTACCGAGTCATATTTGGGAGGTCTAGTAACTCGAAACGCTACTGATTGCTGACATAGAAAAAAATCCCAGGGTTCCCTTGTGTAACCATTCAGTGATTAAACAATGTGACTAGTAAGCTCTCCACTGCACACAGAAAAGAGCTGCCACAATAACTGACAGTCAGTGTCATTAAATTAGCACACATTTATATTTAAGAAATGCTAAGCAATAAAAACTTAGTGCAATATGGTGCAATTTATGTGGAAAATTTTATGCTCTTCTTAACAAGCAAATTGCAAAAGAAGGGTGATGAACATGCGACTGTAATGGTAGCACAGGTTCCAGTATCAATCTAAACTTGGAGCACAACACAACAGCAATAGTAACATAAGATACATGGCAATGGGCATTAGTAGCACCAGTGGCAGAACTCAAGACGTCACGGTAACTTAAACCACACTGCTAACAACATCTTAAACCTTGTTTCTTTGAGAGTGAAGCAGCAGCTATATAAGCTGCTTAAGGAACGCATGGGTCGATATGAAAGCCTTGCTATCACGTACACTGGCATTTACTCCCCGAAACACCTTTCATGTGCAGACATTGAGGAAAGTAACAATTAGTAGATCCCTAACGGAAGCCCTGAACGCATTCCTGAAAACTTTCATGAAATGCTGCTAATCTGAACACAAGGCAAATACTTACGATCTTACATCACAAATTGCAAATAGTCACTCTCGTTAGCAGGGATTTCTGGTCATCCCTGGATAGACATTCTAGAGCGCTAAAGAGCCGTTTCTTTATTCAATTTCCCCTACAAAAAGTTTTATGCAACTTTGAATTTGATGTAGCCAGTAGGTATGACATTTGTCAAAAATTGATTGTTTATTAATAATTATTGGCACCAATTTTCAAAAAAAAGAAGCTTGTTGCACTCTGGCAAAATCATCCAGGAGTAGAATAAAAGAAACGGCACACAAGTCTGATAAGCAGTTTTTGAGAAATTGCTTTCCTGAACACCACAACTAGCTAAAAATCCATTTTGAAAAAACGGGCTATGAAAGTTCAGCGCATGTGTTTTTCTCAAAAAGCTCCAGCAGAGTAGCTTAAAGTATCCTTGTGCACTTTTTTCTTCTTTCGTCTTCCCACAACCTTCTCTAAGTGCCGCTTAGAATTTTTTCTTCAGACATAGGGCATCTTTTTCAAGAGCTGGCTGCATCAGTTAAAATTTTTTCTGCGTCGCTGGCGTAGATTCGAGTTCAGCGCGAACGGCGTCTTGTCGCCTCGCATTCGCATCGATTTCTTCCTAAGTTAGGAAATGCGTCCGCAGATGAAGGGTTGACAGGCCATGCACGTTGTTGGCCCCGATGCAAATCAAGTGCTAGGTCTGGCGATCTTAGCAACACTCGGTGTCACGCTCGATGGTACCGATTCAGAGCACGTGCTGGATCCGGCGATCTCGCTCAGACACGCTCGATGCATTCACGGCTCCAAGTACGCACGGTTTGTCGGATTATAGACTGGTGGCAGCCGACAGCACAGTTTTTTCGCCGCAAGCATCTATGCACTAGGCACTTGCAGCAGAAAAATGCAATTCGGATTCTCGTAGAGTCCGCATAATGCATTTCCGCGCTCCGAACTAGTGCACCGTCTCCGGCTTCGTTGCCGGCATCACGCACAGCAACAAAGATAAAGGGCACAGAACTTGTGCGAAAAGAAAAAAAGAAGAAAAGAAACTGATCGAAAATACAGAGCATGGCAAAAAAGAGGCCCGCAAGCAAACGTCTATCGAAGCAGACGGAGCAGAAAACAACAACGAGACGAGCGTGCTGGACGTGTCATCGCCGGGAGGGACCGCCCCCATTTCAAGTGCAGCAGCCAATGGCGGGCGCACTTTCGCCTGCGAGATATGAATGAGCTGCTCTAGCCAACCAGCGCTCCACATCGCATCTTGGGGAAACGCTGATAGCATCTCAAACACGCCGTAGATGCCATTTTGAAAGGCAGCAAACGAGAGAGAAAGAATTCACGGTCACAACAAGACCAAGATGGTGCGGGATGGCCGCATGGTTTTGGAATGGCGCGCGCGAAGTTTGGTTTGTTTTTGCCATTTGTGTGCGTTTTGGGCGCTGCGACAGTCTCAGAAATAGCATCTTTTTTTATTTTTGGGTTAAATTAGGTGCTGACATTTACAGAATGGGTAGTTTATGTGACATACAACCAAACAATATGGTTTTTAAAAAACAATTTTTCGCGATTTTTCGGTTTTCAAGGACCCCGTCCCCCCATAAATGGAACTGTCGTTCCTGTGACTGGTTTCGTGCTCCACATCTACAGGCTTCTGCATCTCTCAATAAATGGAACTCTCATCAAACAAAACAAATTTTCTTTGTCCCTCGCTTTACTATGTACCAACAGCCTTGGTCAATGTGTTATCTGTTAGGTGTTATTGAAACAAACAAATGAACACTAAATGAAAAACACAACTACTAGCCTTGGAGCTTCGCTTGAGTGACTGTCAGAAAAACAAAATGCGGGTGGCCATGCTCCCTTGAGGTTTCTGCAGCTCCTTACCATTATATCCCAAGTTTTAACAGTGCCTGCTGGGGCCCACGTAATTGTTTTCTGACAAAGTTAGATCGCACCCAAGGGGTGCCACAAATGTAACTTTGAAAGCCTAACCCGAACCCTATCGAGCCAATGTGGCCAGAATACTGCTGGGTAGCGAGGATTGTGGCATATTTTTGGGTTATCGAAAAAGAGTTTGGCTGATCCTGTGAATGCACGTCACCCCCCATGTTTGCTTTCACCCTCACCCATCTTTATTTGAAAGAACCTTTTGCCTTCCTTTTGCTCACCGATTCTGTTTTTACAGCAGAAATATTCCAGCCAGATATTCACCAGACATGTCGTGCATATTTCTCGTGCGGGCCGTGAAATATTTTAACTCAAAATTTTTAGCAGAGCTGTGCTGCTAATGCCCAACGTGTTGCCGCTGATACTATTTCGTTGATTACTAGCAGCATTTCTTCTGCGGGCACAGCAGCTGCTACTTTGCTTGTTTACAACAAATAAGTGTACTGTGAATACATTTCATAGATACTTATGAACATATACTACACTCTCCAGTCAGCTGGACAAGGTAGGGGAGGCAGGTTCATAGCACCGGAGTGAAACAAATCTCGAGGTTTTTGAAGGTCTTTGAA